TTTAAATTCTGGTTTCTCAAGGAAAATTTCAGAAACTTGCTTCTTGCCATTTACAAATTCATTTACTAGCTTTTTCTCAGATTGACCCTCAGCCTAACATCTTGTTCGGGCTTTATTAAGCCTATTTTCTCTTACCATATTACTACTTTTAATGCATCATAGTAGGTTGTTTTATTTAGTTAACATTAGCATTAATTTCTTTTGCTCTTACTCTTTCACTATATTTATCTTAAAAAGACGATATCTGAAACCCTTGGGGACACATACCATGTATTGAATAATGACTCCAGAGAGATTTGCCTCAGAATCCAAGTTCGTACATTAACATTTCAGTAGCAGAGCAGGAATGATCACAGTCGCTAGGTTAAAGTTCATTAATAGCTTAATGTCAGTTAAGTCAGGTTTTGCCACCAAGCTTAAACTTTAAGGTTTTCAGATTTACATGTGAAGAATTGGACATGTATAAACTGCTGCGGTGGGGTATTTAAGTGTTTGGGAGAATACACGTAAAATTTCTAATGAATTGCTTGAGTTTTCTGGGTCATCTTTACCATTTGCCCATAATTGAATTTCAGTTTGGAAACCTTGCTTGATCCCATTCCAGGTATAAAAAAGTTAGGCAGTTAAAAACCAATATGCTAAAAAAAAAAAAAAAAAAACCAACCAAAAAAACACACCAATATGCATTTTCCTCATAACAAATAATTTAAAACATGCATGTTTATTAACAGGAGGAGAGAAGTTATTTTAACTTTTTAGAAAATGTGCTTTTATTGATATATATATATATATATATATATATATATACACACACACACACACACACACACACACACACAAATATATATATATTTTTTTGAGAGAGAGAGAAAAGGGATGAGGAAGGGAGACATCAATCCGTTGCCTCAACCTGGGCTTGTGCCCTGACGAATTGAACCGGTGACCTTTTGGTGTACAGGACAATACTCAACCAACTGAGCCACACCAGGCAGGGTTGACGCGTTTTGTTTTTTTTTTTTAAATAAAAAAAACAAGACATAAAACTCTGGGGAGGGAGGGGGGCAAAAAAATATATATATATATTTTAAAAAATTAAAAAAAAAAAAACACAAAAAAACAAACTCTTATGTCGAGGGCTGACTTCCAATAGATCGCAGCGAGGGAGCTGCTTTGCTATGTACGAATCCCCGACCCAGAAGCACGTCGTCTACGAATAGTTTAGCGTCAGGTTCCCCAGGAACATGCATTGTGTGAAGGACGGCGTGTTCTTTTTTTTAAGATCAAACTTGAAAGTGCACTGCATCACTTGGAGGAATCTTGTTCCAAAAGTGCAGACTGACCTATTAGGGCTAGGGTGGGGCCCAAGGTCAATGATGGTGCCAATGCTAAACGATTCAAGGACTACACTTTTCATTAGCAGTTTAATATTTTCATTAGCAGTACCAATATTTTATCCTAACAGACTACATAAATGCAGCTTTATTTTCTTTTTGAGTAGATTTTGAAATTTATTTTTTATTTCAGAGAGGAAGGGATATGGCGAGAGAAACATCAGTGATGAATCATGGATCAACTGCCTCCTGTATGCTACTGAGGATGGAGCCCACAACGCAGGCATGTGCCCTTGACGAATTGAACCTGGGACCCATAAATATGCAGGTTGACGATCCAGTTAACCAAATGAGTGAGGGTTTTTTAAGTAGATTTTTAGAGAGGGAAACATTTTTTTAGGCAAATCAACATACCTATTCTGTATGTTCATCAATGTAATCTCTTCCAAAAATGTTGCCTGAGAACAACTCAATATTATAGGCTTTATTTCTAGCCATTCCCAGAACATTTCCTCCTTAGAGAACTTTAATTTGAATCTTGTCATAGTGCTTTCTGATAAACTTGATGTAATATAAGCTAACAATTTGTAGAGAGTGCTGTTTTAGATACTCATCAGGCACAGACACTGGACCTGGTGACAAAATGAGGAAACTCAAAGAGGACTAAACTTATTTTTTTCTTTCATATGGAGTAAAAAACAGTTTTTAATGCAAATAAATGTAAGCCAGGTAGGTATACTACCGTATATATGAGGCTTATTTACCTGGTTCTTTCTAATGAGGTCTATAAATGTTTTCACCTCTATGCAGAAACTGCTGAAAGGTTTTATGTCAAAATGCTTAGAAATTTTTTCCTGGTCATATTTTAGTCTATTAATAGAATAAAATTGAGAAATAGTTTTTGCTCAGCAATAGATGATAAAATTGATTTGTGGATACCACTGGATATAAAGGATATGAGAAAGAATCCTAAATAGACAAACAGTCTGGGTATCAAGAAGAAAACTGAGAATTCAGAAATGTATTTCTAGCCGAAACCGGTTTGGCTCAACGGTAGAGCGTCGGTCTGCAGACTGAAAGGTCCCAGGTTCGATTCCAGTCAAGGGCATGTACGTTGGTTGTGGGCACATCCCCGGTAGGAGGTGAGCAAGAGGCAGCTGGTCGATGTTTCTCTCTCATCGACGTTTCTGGCTATCTTTCTCCCTTCATCTCTGTAAAAAATCAATAAAATATATTTAAAAAAACGTATTTCAAAACCCAGGAACTGTTATATTTATACTTAGACCAAAGTGAGCTTGTAATTACTATTTTTTAAGCTTATTATTTTAGCTTATAATTATTGATAAATATAGATTTTTTAAAATGTTAAATTATTGAAATGTTTATTTGCGTTTGAATGCTTATATTTTCCATCTTTAGCGATCTTCATTTTCATTTTATTACTTGACTCATAAAAGCCAGATTGGAAATTGGCAATATAAAATGCCCAGTAAGGAATGATCTATAATAATATTAGGTCTAGTAATAATTAATGTCGTTTTCGAATACTTTTTTAAAATCAAATTTATTTAAACATTACAACAAAATTTAATCAACAATATAGTTGCCGTTGTTTTCTACTACTTGTGCCCAATGCTCAGGAAGCATTTTAATCTCTCTATTGTAAAATTCTTGTGATTTTGATGCAAAAAATTCGGTCAATGCATTTTTGAGGCATTCTTCATTATTAAGTTTTTTTCCAAGAAGAAAGTTTTACAAAGAACGAAACAAATGGTAATCGGAAGGGGCAATATCAGGAGAATATGCAGGTTGAGGGAGAACTTCCCATTCCAACTGGCGCAGTTTTTCAGCAGTGATTCTTGCAGTATGCGTTATCGTGGTGAAGAATTACGCCCTTCCGATTAATCAGCGCGGGTTCTTTTTCTCTTAAAGCTTGGGCTAACCTTTCCAATTGGGCACTATACACTGCACTTGTAATGGTTTGGGTAGATGGTAAAAGTTCATAATGAAGAATTCCTTTAAAATTCCACCAAACACACAACATCACTTTTTTCGCATGCAAGTCAGGTTTTGGCGTGGGCTGTGGAGCCTCATTTTTGTCCAACCATTGAGGCCGCCTTTTCAAATTAACATACAGCACCCATTCTTCATCTCCGGTAACAATTTGCTCTAAAAACGGCAAACGGTTTTGAGGAGAGAGGAGCGAACTGCAAATTGTGACTCTTTGATTACGGTTGTTGTCGGTCAACTCATGAGGAACCCATTTTCCAAACTTTTGGACTTTGCCAAGTGCACGCAATTGATTGGAAATTGTTTTTTGTGAACAATTTAAAGTTGTCGCAAGCTCTTGTTGGGTAATTTGAGGATTTTGCACCAAAAGAGCTTGAAGAGCTTCTTGATCAAAATTGGACACACGGCCTCGACCACTCTTGTCATCTAACGAAAAATTTCCCTCGCGAAATTTCTCAAACCAACGCTGGCATTTTCTGGCGCTAACTGCATCTTGACCAAGAGCACTACAGATGTTTTTTGCAGCCTCACTTGCTTTTCTTCCTAATTGGAACTCGTAAAGCATGCAGTGCCAAATATGCTCTTCATCCGCCATCTTCTTAGCCCTAGTTTTGCAACATAAACCAAACCAAACACAAACTTTTTCAAGCAAAACTTGTTAATTGCACTTCACACGTTCTGTAGATACCACGTGTTTGAAGGTTATGTCAATACAAGTCAACGCCAAGCAAGATTTTAAACGAATGTTGAAAAACGACATTAATTATTACTAGACCCGATAAAAGCGTAATATGCTTATTAGACCAGACAGGCCCACCTCTGGGCCAAGCCTGGGCCTCTGGTAATTTCTATTAAACAGAAAGGAATAATTCTCAGCCATGTTGTTTGAATTAAATGACACTCCGAAGTCTGCCACATCACATACTAAAGTGGTAGCTGACCTTTGAGCAACTCATTGTCTGCTCAGGTTTCAGGATTATAAAGCCCATTTCCTGCTTTCTGGAAGCTTACCATTTAGGAAGACTGGTTCTTAATTTGGATCCCAAGAATCCCAGACATTTGTTTAAAATGAGGCTTCTCAGGTTTGCTCTACCCATCAGTTTTTTCCTCAATATTTTTTGATTCGAGAGAGGAAGGGAGAAAGAGAAACAATGATGAGAGAGAATTATTGATCCGCCGCCCCCCACCGTGACCGAACCTTCATATGTCCGTGATCAGAATTGAATCAGACCCTTCAGTCCGCAAACCTGCCAGGGCCCACCCATCAGTTTTGATTCAATGAGGAAAGAGAAGGCACAAGTATTTACAATTTTAATTAGCATCCTCTTGATCTTGATGCAGTTGATTCACATTGAGAAACACTATAAATAGGTAATACGGAGACATGAAAGAAACTTGAGGTTTTAAGATATCATAACTTGCTGGTTTGGAGAACCACACACTGGGCCCAGCATACGTAGAAACTTTGGTCTGGCTCAAGAACTGTCTCGGTTCGTCCAGGTCCGAGGCCGGCTAGAGCGCAGGCTTCCCCCCGCCCACGATCCGCTCCCACACCACCGGAAGCTCCACCCCTCTCCTCTGGTCTTGTCCCCGCCCCCTCTAGAGCCCGCCCCTCAGTCGGCGGTCACGCCCCCAACGACGCCAGAACCGGAAATGACAGCGGCGAAGCCTTTGGGGCGGGGCCTGGGCCGGGCAGCTCCTGCGGCCGAGATTTCACTTCGGAAACAACAGGCGCTGCTCGCGAAGGAGCCTCGGCTGCGGGCGGTCGCAGGAGGCGGCGGCGAGGAGGAAGTAGGTGCGTGATGGGGAGTCCTGGGCGAGAGGAAGGCGCCCCTCATCCGGTGTCGACACGGGTGGCCGCGGGCTCGGCCGGCCCTTTGTCGCCGTCCCGGCCGCGGAGCAGACAGACGTCCTGGAGGATGGGGAGCGGGCGCGGCAGGGCGGGGACACGGGAACCCCGTGTGGCTGATGAAGAGGGGCTGCCGGTTTCTGGGGTTCGGGGCGCGGCGTGCGGTCGGGTGGAAGAAGAGAGCGCCTTGGGAGCCTCGGTCCGGAAGTGCGGATTTCTCGAAGGTAGCTGAGGGCGCAGGTGCCTGCGGCCGGGGTTGGCCGTCCGGACCAGCGGAGCCGGTGGAAGGGGAAGCGCGCAGCGCCCTGCCCGGTTGAGCAACTGAGGAAACTCCACGCCTCCTGCCGCCTGTGTCCTGGTCCAGGGGACGCGAGTGGCACTCAGGGCTAAAAAAAAAAAAAAGTTCCTTATGTCTCCCATTCGAAGCGGACAACAGGGTCTGAGGCGTTTGCCTTCGATCGCAACTGTCCCAAGGCATGTATGTCCGGTGCCTTGCATGTGTCTTAGATGTTTGTGTTTTCTTCCCGCTCAGATGGTTTTCCTTTTGTAGGGAAATAGCAGTAAGGTTAAAAGCATCATTTGTCTGCTTTGCACAAGATGAAGAACGTATTCAAGGTTTTCTGTGGGAGCTAGTGTGCAGAGTGTGCAAATGATTATATGGCAGAGCATATTGTAAAGGTAAAAACACTTCGTTGACGTTTGAGGCAGATAGAGATCACATCTGCGTAAGAGAATCTTGTTATTTGAATTATCTTTGGCAGTGGGAAGGTTTCCACCCTCGGCGTTGAAGTGGGGAGGACATTGTAATCATGGGGTGTGCCACAAACGGGGGTCCTGGATCTCACTGTCCAGTGAGCCAGGCTGAACATTAAATGACTGTTACGAAGGAAGATAAAACGGGAAAGTAGGTTGGATCCTGTTGCATTTGTCTGATTTCAGTCACCTGCCAAAGCCTATTTCAGTTTTCCTTAACTCCTTTGCAGAGTTCAACCAACTGAAGCTCCACCCCACCCCACCCACGTTTAAGAACAACCCTTTAGCAATGAACACATAAGTCTATTGTGTGCATGGATCCTCCCCTCCTCCCACACACACACACACACACAATAGATTGTAGAAGAACCACCTGCCATCTAGTTTTCCATTCTACTACTCCTGGTTCTTGAGTAGAAAGCCCCCACAGTTCTGGGTATCCTTTCTTCTGAATGGACACCATTTACTGCTGGATACGAGTCCTACACTGCTGCATGGATTTCTGTTTGCCGAGAACCTGAGGATTGGAGTTGGTCTCCGAATCACCAGCAGAAAAGTTGCCGAAGTTTATGTGGTTCTCTTCCTCGCACTCCAGGTTCCCTTGGCTGTAGTACTCTTCCACTATTGTATCAGATTATACGGGGAGACTTCTTGGAGACAGATACTGAAAAACCTTTCAGAGACCCCTCATACTGCTTGTCCGTCGTGTGTCAGATGCCAGGCAGATTCGGAAGGTGATTTGAAAGTGTGGCACTGTTGTCAGAGCTTTCTTAAGGCTCATTAATCCGGTAGTTGGGGCTCAAATGGATAAGAGAATTGAGGTGACTTTGCATAATCAAAGGAGATATAATGAGAGTTTGATCTTTGGTGGTAGTAGAGGCTTAGAAAGGAAGAAAAAACATGAACAGGACCTGGCACACGATTGAGCAAGGAATAAAGTGTTAAGTTCACAAGGAAACTTGGAGTTTGGAAAATGGGAGCGAGCGTTGATTGCACAAATAAGGAAGTGAGGAGCAAAGAACTATCTAGAGAGGAAGATGAGGAAGTCCTTTGGACAGGCCTGGGGCTGTAAACATGGGAGTCACTTAGACTTGTGAGTTGGTGTTGAAGCAGTGGATGAGACACCAAAGGAGAGAAAAGGACCCTCAGGAACACGCATACTCAGGGGGTGGAAGAGTGAGAACCGGGCCGGGTGAGGAGAATGGAGTTCAGTGTCACAAACGCGGAGGAAGGGAGGGGTTGTCAGGGATTTTCAGCATTAGGCCTGGTGTATCAGAAAGAACGGAAGATTTAGAGCACCACTGTCCAATAAAAACAAATGTGAATTTTAAATTTTCTAATAAATTTTTTTAAGGTAGAAAGAAATAGGTAAAATTAATTTGAATAACATTTTATATAATTCCATTACATCTAAAACATTTTGATTTCGACATGTAATTAATATGAAAAGATATGTGTCTGTCTTTCCCTCTAGAAAGTAAGCTCTTTAAAGTAAACAGAAGCGTTACTGGGTTCAGTGGCGTCCCCAGCACCTTTCACAGTGTCTGGGTATGGAGAGGAAACCCAATAAGCGTTGACTAAAGGGTATAATGTTTAGTTTTCACAGTTTCTTAAGTTTCTTAAGTTGATCTAAATAAAGCAAAAGAGGGAATGCAAGCTTTGTTGAATATATAGCCAATGACTTACAAATTAATTAGATAAAAGTAGTCCCCCCCCCATTAAAGATAAATTGTATTCTCATTTCCACAGTGAATTTAAGACAATGACTCAGGGTAATCATATCTTCCATGTAGAGTTATTGAAATTAAATGTTTGTTTTTTTTTTGGGGGGGGGGGTAGAGATTATTTTTAAAAAATTTTTTTTAATTTATTGATTTCAGAGAGGAAGAGAAACATCAGTGGTGAAAGAGAACCATTGATTGGCTGCTTTCTGCATGGCCCTTACTAGGGATTAAGCCTGCAAGTGGGCATGTGCCCCTGACTGAAAATGAACCCGAGACCCTTCAGTCTGTAGGTGGATGCTCTATCCACTGAGCCAAACAGACAAGGGCTGATTCTTTATAATATACAAATATCTACAAAAATTCTGAGATCCAAAAGCCCCTGAAAAAAAACTGAAAGGCTTTTCTTTTTTTTTTCTTTTTTTAATATATTTTATCAATTTTTTTTATATTATACATATTTTTTATTTTTTTTATTTTCTTATTGATTTTTTACAGAGAGGAAGGGAGAAAAATAGAGAGCTAGAAACATCGATGAGAGAGAAACATCGACCAGCTGCCTCTTGCACACCCCCTACCGGGGATGTGCCCGCAACCAATGTATATGCCCTTGCCTGGAATCGAACCTGGGACCTTTCAGTCCGCAGACCGACGCTCTACCACTGAGCCAAACTGGCTTTGGCCTGAAAGGCTTTTCATCACTCATTTGACATTTAACCTGAATCTGTTTGTGTAATTTAAGGTTACTTATATACTTTACTACATATTTATTAATGTGTTCTATATTGTGGGCCTAAAACCCCAAGGGGTCATTATAAAACATGGTACTTGCATCATATTACTTTATAAAACCCGAAAAATAATATGAATTCTAAACACATTTAGTTCTAAGGGTTTCAGATAAAGGATTCTGGACTTGTAAGTTTTTGTTAATTTTTATTCTGAGCCCACATAACCATTATTATTTTAAAACAATTCTGATAACTATATAACAGACTCCCTCAAAACTCAGTGCCTTAAAGCATTCAAGGCTCTGCTTCAAGATGTAGCTAGAGCAAGATGGATCAGCTAGAGCAATTTTGCTTTGCATATCTTATTCTGGGGCCAGACTGAAGGGACAGTGGCTACACATAGTAAGCTCTTCTCCAGGCAGCAGCAGAGGTACAAGAAGGCAAGGCCTACCTACTACACAAGCACAGTTCAAGTGTTTGTGCCACATCTGCTAAGATCTTAGTGACCAAAGCAAGTCATACTGTCACTGATGGAACTTGGTAGAAAATGATCCACCAGAAGTGGGAGATCCCTTTCTCCACTGGGTGCTTGTGGTCTGGTCCTTAGGATATCTTGAGAAAAAGAATTTTCTAAGGCTAGCATGGGAGGATGAATGACCTATATTTATGTGGAATTACATCCCTGGGTTTCAAAAGTCCCACTTCCCTTAAACCAGTCCTGAAAGTGTTGTAGCTGGGAATTCAGCAGAGCTGGAAGCAAAGCCAGTGGCCAGAGTGTCCTATTGTGGAGCTGGGTCCAGTGTAACATCAGACAGGTTATAGTCTACTAGAGGCCTGGTGCATGAAAATTCATGCACTGGTGGGGGAGTCCCTCAGCCCAGTTTGTCCCCTCTGACAGTCTGGGAGCCCTCAGGGGCGGGAGGCGACCTGGCAATCAGGGGAGGGCGACACCCCCAGCAGCGTAAGCCTGGGCCAGCCCTGGTTACCTGAGCCTCGGAGGTCCTGGAAGGCTGGGCAGTTGGGGGGCTGTGGGGATTCGCACCGCCACTTGTGGCTGTGAACACCGCCATCTTTGAGGGCTTGACAGTTAATTAGCATATTACCTCATTGGCTGTGGGCACTGCCATCTTTGAAGGCATGGCAGTGGGGTAGTGGGTGCCGCCATCTTGCGATGGCATGAGGGTCAGTTAGCATATTCCCTCTTTATTAGATAGGATTGTGTGTGGCCACCTGGCCATGAGCCATGTGGACAAATGCCGGGGAGCATGCCCTCTACAACAAGAGAGCCAGGAGCCCAGCGCACGAGAGTAAACCCCTTTGTGTAGGAGTTGAAATATCTGAAATCTTCCCACACTTGCAGCAGCCATGCTTACTCTGGCCAATGACCTGTTCCTTCCCTGTTTCATCCAGACTTTACTAGCATGCTCCTTCCCTGTTAATTAATAACTAGGTTACTTACAACAGTATCTTTATGATTGGGTATACTATACCCACCTTGAGGCAAAAGCAGGACAAAGAGGCAAACCTAACATTACTGGAGAGGGGAAGTATATTTTTCTCTTGGGGATGCTGGAGTGAATATTTGCTAAATAATAGTCTAATCTACCGCAGATGGTTCACAGAAGTGGAGTGGGATGGAAGGAGGAAAAAAATCACCAAATAGGCTATATCACTATCCTTGCTCTTTTTCAGAATCTACCACTTTGGCAAAGCCTGTTGTAGGGGTGGGGAAATCATTTGC